GCTTGTTCATGTTTAAGAATGTTGTAACTTGAAAACCTTGGTGTTCTTTGAATCATACCTTTTGGAAGGAGACTGTTTTGGGTTGGCAAACCTGTGTTTTGGAGTTTTGATGCAGGTCTGTTGGAAGTGTCCTCCTTTCCTGTTCGGTAGGAAGCATCCTGTCATTGTCCCTGCAGACGTGTCATGGTAGGGGCATGTTACTTGCTCTCAGTGGGAGTTAGGAGGCTGGAAGGCCTGTTTCCTTTTAATTTTCAGGATATAAGATACTTGTGGAGAATCTTGCCGTGGGCACAGGGCTGCACGCTCTAAAATACTCTTTCCTGCACTCACCGTACCTATTTGAATCAATCTTCCTAGATACTGGCTATCAATCCCAGGGTCTGTGGGATTTGTGCATTTTAAACACCATGTATTTCTCCTTCATTATTTATGAATTATTTCAGTCTTCTTGTTTTGTTTGCTTATAAAAATGAAATATGCCTAAAAGGTTTAAATTCCACCCATTCTCCTCCCCTGTAAACAAAAAAAAAAACACCACACACGCACAAAACAGAAACAACAGTGTGTGTCTAGCACAGCAATTTTATTTTGGTTTGGTTTTTGGGACAGGCTGATCTTAGCTATTGGGAAAACATAAATCTCACCCACAACATAATGGGGGCACTGGAAATACTTCTCATAGTCCTGTTGCATTCTCCGATGTTGGTTTGGTTACATTAAAGCATGGTTTGTTCTCAGTTCGCTTTTCGGGAAGGTGAGAGTGCTGAGGGATTCATCCATATAAACTGCCCAAAGGCCATGGCTAAAAACTTCTTTCAGTTCAAGCAACAGGACTGACTGTAATAGCAATGTATTATTTAGAGCTCTTTACTGGCCTCTTCGGTCTCGGCAAAAGCAAGTGGCTTTGATGAAATGCTTACAGTGCCTCTGCTGGTGCTGACGATCCCCAGCTGAATTCTTTCCCATACTTCGGGATGACATAGTACAGCCTGTACGTCTGCCTCCTAGTTGTATTTTTGATCATACTTTGACTGTCTGCATTTGTGTCTGTGCTCCTTGTGGTTGGCTTGTTCTTCTGAATTTCTTCTCTTGCAAGTTGTGCAGGATTGACCTCCTGCAGTTCAATCAAACCAGGGGAAATGCAAGCCAGTATCTCACATGGAAACAAATTTTGCCTCTGATGCGATTCCAGCATGTTTTTCTAGGGAAATTTAAATGAGATGTTTTATTCATACAAAGTCAGTATTGCTCTGTTCTCTTCCAATTCCAGTAATCCTGGATGAGTGCAGGAGGTCATCTGCAGATTTAGAGTCATTGCAAGAGCAGTGAGTTTATATGTAAGTTTAATATTTCACTATACCACAGTACTGAACATTAGAAACTTTTGCAAATGTAACGTGGTTTATGTTGAGTTGCCAGCAGAAGAACAAATTTGAAATTCCTGTGGAGGTTGTATGATGTTAAGAGTCAAGACCACGGAAACCAAATAAAGATGCTTTGCAAAAGGAGCCCACAGGAAGCAGGACAGACAGAAACTTTTTATTTTTTTCTTGTCTCATTCCCAACAGAGAACCAGAGCAGGGCTTCTACTTGAGCACCTGCTCTGACTTCCTCCTGCAGTAACAGGCCTGGTTATTTTTGTAACCCTTTGTGGTTGGTTGTTGGTTTTTTTTTTTCCTCTTTTCTGGATTTGCAGAATTAATTCACTGGTGCCACCTTGAAACAGCTTTCTTTACTGAATGAATGTTATGCTGTGCTCTCTAACATCCCAGGAATGGTTTTGGGGTTTTTTTTTAATTGCAATAGTAGGTTATCATTTGTCACTTGAGTGATCGTACTACTTTGCATGCAAACAGCTCACTTCAGGAGTGTGAAGATAGCTTATAAGTGATTTTATCTTCGTCTGAGGAGTTACAAGGTTTACTAAATAGTTTGTAGAGAAATAGAGGCAAAGATGGTAAATAAATAATGCAAGATCAAATTAATATAAGTGACAGAGATGGGAACAGAATTTCGCAGGGCTCAACCTCCTATCCCATATATGTGAGCTCGCGCTCTCTGCCTTGCCCTGAGCGTCCTGCTCTTTCCCTTGTGGCAGTGCAAAACCATGTGTCTGTCTGGAAGGCATCAAAACTGGGAAAGGGATCTACACTTAAACTTGTTCACCCTGCCTCCGAAGTTAAAATTAACCATGAGCAACTCTAATCCATGTCACCGTGTAGCTGCCCAAGTGCTTGTGCAGGCGCTGGGCACAGAGCAGCCTGGGCTGGCAGGGGAGAGAAGCTAAAATTGCTTCCTTTGGCGTGAGCTTAAAATGTTTGTGCTTAGTTCAGTGGAAACTCTTCCTTACAGAGCAGCCTAAGGACATAATTATTACAGTGTAATTAAATCCTGTTAGTTTAATTATGTAGTACATTTTAAAGCCTTAAGAAATACTGGCATAGTATTTCAGAATGAAGAAAAATATACATATTCAACAGTGAATGTAATTAATTCAAGATTTCATACTGTGTTTAAGAAAAAAACCTGCAAACACGTTTTTGAAAAATAATTTGTGATATAACTTTGCAGAGGATTTTTTTTTTTATATGTAAGAGTAATATACAGAGGATATGATTTGTTTGTCTTAAGGTTACAATATTTAACTGTTCTTCTGTTATCTGCTGTAGTTTGGTATTGATTATGGACTCCCTTACTGACATGCTGATTTCATACAATGTGTGTCACATAAGACCAGCTCTGGCACTTTCCATTCCACTGCCTGTTTCCCAGCTGTGGGGGCCCTTCTTATTTTCTCATTTGCTCCCCCTTCCTCCTCGGTCTGTTTGAGGGTAGCTCGCCTTTCTCCCAAACTGTTGCATCTGGCTTGGGAGGTATTTCTGTCAGCGTGATTTCTTTCACCTGGGCTTTCTTTTTTATAATGACCTGGTTAGTGTGTTTTGTTGTTCGTTCATTTGTGATTTGAGACAGGAAAAGAAATAAGCACCTCCACACCAGTGTTGGGGTTTTCTTCATTATCCTCTTTATTCCTATTTAACTTTTTTTGTTAAAATGATTAACTAAGGGATTTGTTACAGCTTCACTAAGCAGCTATTTCTTAGGACTAGCTTTTTGCCTTCCCAGAGTCCTGAGGCAAATCCTAACTATTCCAGCCACCACACTTGCATGAACATGTTATTTAATTGAACTCTGACTTGGGCCAACTAGGAATTCTGATCCATTCCTTTCCCCACAAATTGTGTTTTATGACTTCCAGAAGCACAAATATAGAAAAGCTGTCAATCCCAGAGAAGTTCTTCTTGGCAAGATGACCTGGTTAAAGCTTACGTAACCAGGGCTATTCTACTATGTGCTGGTGATAATGGGAAAACAAAGATAAGAAGGTGTTGTCAGAAAAACAGATACTTATTCGCAAGATGACTTCATATGCCTTTTTTCCTAGGACAAAATCCCTAATGGAATATATAAAATGTAAACAATTTATCATAGAGTTCTTTGAGTTGATTTTTGATGGTAATCCACTTTATTTGCTTGCACATAGAATCTGGATTTAAACAGGACATTTCAATCTCCTGTCTAATTTCGTATGTTCATTTTGTCTGTGTAGGAGAGAGTTTAAGCTGCTTGTAAATTATGTGGGCAGATAATTTATGTTAAAAAGGGGGAAATTACGTATTTTAGAGGTAACCTACCAGAGACTGTGTCTATTCTTACTATTTAGAATAGCTAAAGTAGACTGAAAGTTCAGAGATTTTGAGTTACATTATGTTTTATAACTATTGCCGTGAAAACAGTAGGATTCTAAAATTTAGTGATTCTTGTACTCATGCTAGGAAATGTCTAACATCTTCTGTGGGGTGATGTATTGCCTTTCTTTTGTTGTTGAGGTAGTTGACACAAAATTCTGCATGAAATAATTACATTTTTGTGATGTTCCTATGCCACTTCACTGGCAACTGCTTTTTCTTGTATCTTTTGTGATACTTCAGTACTGGGGAACAGGGGATCACATGTTCTACCTGTGCAAAACTTTACCATACAGTGTCATCCAGGATTTACATCCAATAGTTATCCCAGTACCTTGACTAAAAACATTTATTTTCCAGAAAAAGTTTGATTTTGTTTTTAGAGTTCTTTTAAGTTAGTTGTGGCAAACTACTTGACAACTTTAGTGGGGAAAAAAACACTAGTCATTTTCTTTCAGTAAATAAAATCAGTTAATGGTAGGATACGAGTTGAATTTGCATACTAAAATATTGTATTATGTTGTCTCTGTTGCTTAAACTTACTGGATATTAGGATTATTTGTTGAGCAGTGCTGTTATGCCATTCATTTGTTTAATATGTAGGTTGAGTAAAGTTTGCTGATACCAGTAATGAATTTAGCATAATAAAGTTAAGCTAATCACAATGTCAAGTATCAAGAAGCGTATCTTTTGTGTTGCAAAATACACCTATTTATAAACAGCAGTAAGAGTGACCTAACTATACTATCCTGACACAGCTGTATTTATAAAATAGCTTGAATAAAAGAAATCTAAACTAAGCTGGTTTTTTGGGCAGTGACTTGATATCTAGCTGGCTGTTGCTGAATGGTGTTTTATCAGATTCCAATTGTTAGCAAACAATATTCGTGGAAGCTTGTGGGAGGAAGTATGGTGTAAGAATTTGGATGCTTGCTGGTGGAGTTACTGGAATTCTTTACAAATCTGTAATCTGCATTAACTGATATAGTTTGGTAGCTCCTCCAGCTATGGATTTTACACTACAGAAAAGAAAACGAGCTTAGCCTGGGAATAGCCAGTGAACATTGATCATACTGGTTTGGGCAAGTTCTGTAGTTACACAAATAAGCTGATGTGAAACTGGATGGGTTTAATCAGATATCTTCTGAAAGCAACTGAGATGCTTGCAACATGAGGCACAGCAGCTGTCAAAAATGTTCTTGTGCAAATGTGGTTATCTTTATTTTTGGACTAACCAGCATTTTGTCTTCACAGCAGCTATACTTCTGAATGGAAGTGGCTTGCAGACAGAGCTAGAATTGGCAGCCGTTGGACATGGCTTCAAGCCCAGATTTCAGAACTAGAATACAAAATCCAACAACTAACTGACCTTCACAGGCAGATACGTGCCACCAAGGTATTGTCTGTAAGCTCATAAATGGGCTTTTCAAATAATCTTTTGACCGTGTTTCTTGTAATATTTATTTATTTGGTTCCTTGTTGTTGTTTGTTTTGCCCTGGAGTTCTTGTATCTGCGCAGGCTATCGCATGCAAAGGTTAATGAGAAAGACATCAGGAGCTAAAAAGTACTGTACCCTAGAGGCATCAGTACAGGAGTGGGAGTTGGGAACTCTTACCTTCCTACCTGTGATAGTGACTTTGCTAGTGACTTTCAGGGGCCCAGCACAAGGAACTGCATTTATCACACTAGTTTTTCCCTCTGCACAGGAGGCAAGATGCAGTTTTCAGGTGGGGCAATTGGTTATTCATTTTTATGTTGTGGGGCTTCAGGGTGGGTTTTTTTGTTATTTACAGTGCCTGTTTATTCTGAGGATTAGCTAGTTAATGTTTGTACAGCACTTTGAACAGGTCAAGGATTAATTATTACTAAAATTCCAATGTGTGTAACTCATGTACTATTTTTTGTAAATCGAACTGGCTAGACAGTGGGAAAGTCACATTCCTAAAACATCAATAAACTATCAATTTAATGGGTTTCCCAGGTCATTCTAATGTGCAAAAAGCCAAACCACGATCATTCTGGTGGTGTGATAGTGAAGGGTTTTAGAGGAGGGCTCTTTGACTCTCCATTGATGAGCCTCATGTAGATTGTCTGATCTATGCTGGGGTCAGATAAGCACAGATGGAGGGGAGCCAGAAGATGCTTTAGACTTCATGTGGCTGAACATGAAACTTAGAGGGAGTTAAAAAGACAGGGAAATCACCCCACAGAGCATTTCCCTCTGATCACATAAAGAAAAATTATTCACTCTTCTCCTTTTACCCTTAAAGCCCTTCTTTTCATATCCAGCTTTGTCTCTTTTTCTCACAACTTTTCCCCAGTTAGGTTTTTCCTTAAAAAATACTGAAGAGCCTTTGTTTGAGTGTCCATCCTACCGCTGTGCTCATGGAAGTGAAAGGAGATTCTATATTTTGGTGAAGGGTGAGAATGTCCACATTTTAGTGTTGTCCTAAATACTAGGTACATGCATACTGTTACACCCCAAAGCTATCAGCCTTTAGGGTGGCATAGGTCTCATGAACTGCAGAACATGGAGAAATAAATAACAGAGAAATGAGAGAAAGAACATTCTTTTAGTCATGCATTTTCTTCACATTAGGTGATATGTTGGCTTGGAGCCTAGTAATCTTCCTAGTGGAGATCTTTAGTGACATTCCTTTTTGCAAACTTCATGCCTCTTTTGCCAGCTGTGGTATTCAGTATTTCCCATTGTGTCGCACAGTGAAGGTAGACACATATTTTCTTCAGCTGTGATTTTTTTGCATACGTGTTTGTAGTACACCAGTAGAGCAGCTACGGAAGGACATGTGGGCTGATAGAATTGCTCTTTGTTTTCATTTAATGGCAGCAAAGTAGTTACACAATATCATTAGAATCTGTATGCTGTGTTTAATGGTTTCAGACTGTTTTTCATGTGTTTTGAATGGAAAAAAAATGTGATTTATAGCCAGTGAACAATGGTTTCAAGCAAAATGCCACTCCTCCAACACCATAATGCAATAGGAAGGGAGATGGTTAACTTGTGGGCAGTTTCCTGCCCTACTACATTGTGTCCTCTCCATCTCTATGCACACAGAAGTAGCATCTCTCAGCCTTTGAGAGTCCTTCCATTTAAAAAAAATGTTCATCTGCAAAACAAAGCAATTCCATTTTGGGGGGTGGGGT